TCCATCCATCCACCCACCCATCCATCTACCCATACCATCATCCATCCATCCATTCACCTATCCACTCATCTATCCATTCATCCATCCATCCACCCATCCATCTATCCATACCATCATCCATCCATCCATCCATCCATTCACCTATCCACTCATCTATCCACCTATCCACCATCCATCCATCTACCCACCCACCCATTTATCCACCCATCTATCCATCCACTCACCCACACCACTATCTATCCATTCACCTATCCACCCATCCATTCACCCATACATCCATCCACCCACCCACATCACCATCCATCTGCCCACCTGCCATCCATCCACCCATCCATCCATCCAACCATCCATCCATCCATCCATCCACCTATCCACTCATCAATCCACCTATCCACCCACCCATCCATCCACCCACCCACTCACCCATCTACCCAGCTATCCACCCATCTATCCATCCATCCATCCATCCACCCACCCACCCACACCACTATTATCCATCCATTCATCCATCCATCCATCTTCTGAGTATGTCAGCCTGAAATGCAGGTAATCATTCGCTTTCTCTCCCCTGCTCTGGTCACCTCTGGCTCTCGTGCGAAACAGGCCTTTGGGGCTTGCACAGTTCCCTAGGATCTGGCTGAAGTAAAAAAAACCTCTACTGATCCAAGGAATTTCTAGCCATGTCAACAGCAGGGAAAAGCTGGGAGCCTTGCTGGGAGGCACAGCGTTCCAGCTGTGCGGCTGGACAGGTGATGCCCTCAAGGGAGTCGCGGGCAGCAGTCCCAGTGGCACCTTTCATTTTGGGACCTGCGGCTTCATAGCACGAAAAGGTGGTGCCGTTCCTCACCCATGCTGATGGTGGCCGGGGTCTGTCCCCATGTCCCCAGGGCTGAGTGGTGTGTAAGAGAGTCAAGTGGAGGGCAGGGATGGGACCCCACCCCGGCGGAGCTGCTCTGGCCACCGTTCCTCCTCCAGTCCCCTGCTGGGACCCTCTGGGGAAGCGGAGTCACTGATCAGGAAGCTGGCAGGTGTGACTCATCAGCCCGTCCAGGTGGCTCCGCCTGACAGCTGACAGGACCAGCGCCGCGCCTGGTGCCAGATAGGGTGAGGCTGGACTGGGGAGCTGGGTCTGAAGGAGGGAGGGGACGGAACCTGGGCAGGGGCAGAACTGATGGGAAGCCAGTCAGGCTGCTCCCAGCATGCGGAATAGCCGGGAAGGTCAGAGCCTGACATTTACTCTCCAGCCGGGTTTGTGAAAGAAGGGCTCTAGTGGCCTGACACCTCCTGGCTTCCTTCCCTTCTGGGGCAAATGGCGAGCTCCTGCCCCTCTCCGCCTGGGGCCAGGGGAGCAGGAGGAGGGAACAGAGAACGACCTCAGTCTTCTGGGGGCATCTTGTGCTGGCCATGCTGTGGGGTCTGGTCAGGACTGCTGTCTAGGACCTGGGTCACCCCTTGGCCTCAGAGCTGCCCCTTCTGCTGCCCCAGCCCCAGCTGAAGCCCCCTAATCCTCCCAAGAGAGGGCTGTAACTATCTAGTCTTCAGAGCCATATTCAGGGGGTGAGGGTGGCAGGAATCAAACCCAGAGCCCTTCCCCCTGCAGAGACAGGCTGGAGCCCCAGTCATGGCAGGAGAGTCTGAGGTTTGAGCACTCTGCTCCCATGTTCCATGTGTCCAACACCCAGCACTCATTTCCACCCAGAGGCCCTTCTTATGCCTTATCTTGTTCAATATGCGCAGCAAAGTCAGGTGCAGTGGCTCATGCCTGCAAGCCCAGCCCTCAGGAGGCTGAGGCAGGAGGATTGCCGCAAGTTCAAGGCCAGCCTGAATTACTGTGGGACCATCTCAAAGACAAAACAAAACAAAAACCACTGCCACCACAGAACATTCACAGCAACACTGTCCATCCACCTGCCGGGACCGCTTGGAGAGACCACTGTGGAACAGGCACTGTACCCAGTGCTCAGACCCAGCAGAGACCAAACGGCTATGGCTCCTGCCTTTGGGAGCTCCATTCAGGTGGGGGAAGATAAGAGAAGGAGCAAGCAAACCACTGGTCACGAAGGAGGGTAGGTGGGATAAAGAATAAACAAGGGACCCTCATTCAAATTGGAGAACGGGAAGGCAGGTACGGAGTGTTGCTGTAGATAGGAAACTAAGCTCAGAGACACCAAGCATCTTGTCATAGGTCACACAGCCACTGGGTGACAGAGCTGGGATCTAAATAGCAGTTCTGTCTAGTTCATGTCCATCTGTATGAGGGGGAAAAGTCTCTAAAGAAAAGGCTA